TGATGGAGACGCGGACCTGATCCCGGTGGAGAAGACGCGGACCTGATCCCTGCAGAGGCTTAGAGGCCCTGTCTTGCCAGTGTTGTTGTGGGATTTGTTTCTGGCTTTGGTTTCCGTTTGGCGGTTGGTTATTCGGTGGAAGGAGGGGGTCGCGTTGCTGAGCGTTGCTGTGCGTTGCTGAGTGTTGCTGTGCATTGCCGAGTGGACAGAGTGTTAACACGTCGCTGAGCGCATCCTCGTACTCCTAGTTGCCGGTGGGGAACTGAAGACGCAGTGCCATGCCGTGCCGTGCAGGCCAGCCTGGGGACCTCACTCCCGGGGCCTCAGTGGCATCACAGGACACTTAGGACTGGCACCCTCCCTTTCTGCTTTGCTTGCTGTGAATGTGTTGGGGGTTTATCTTCTCTTAGGTGTTACCACCTTTTCCCAGCCCCACGGCGGTGCTGAGCCGCATCCCAGCTCGGAGTTCCCTGGCCGGGGCTTCTGCAGTACTTGTGAGGACAACGTGCAGCCCTCGTGGGTCAGGCCTTACCAACTTGAGGTCGTGTTCTGTGGGGTTCGAGTAGCAGGACTGGTCGGCCTATAGAAGCCCCTGTAGAATGTTCCTCAGCTCCACATCATCTCTCTTAAAATACTACTAAGAGCAGCAAACTGTGTCCCACAGACATACCTGGGTTCACAGCAGGCAAGGTCACCTCCTGTGAGGACCGTGAAGGGGCCAAGGAGAGATTTGAGTGAGCAGCCAGAAGTGCTTCTTCTGTGTTGAACGTACTTCCTGTGGAAATGTCAGAGTGTCATGGCTGGTTCTGCGTGGGAGTTGAGTCTGGCGAGCTTGCTGAATGCATGAATTCGCTCGTATAGTTCGCTAATTCTCATGGGTTTGCGTATAGGGGATGGTCACGTCCAGGTTGCCCCGGCCCTCTAGCCCTGCACCTACTCTTCTGTCTGTGGAGCCCTGACGAGGCCCCCACGCCTCACCGTGCTGCCCAGTGGTGAGCACAGACCTCTCTCCCCCTGGTGCCTCATCATCGGAGGTCCTGAGTCGTGTGCCTTTTTTCCCCCTTTTTAAATAGCGTTGAACCCAGCGGCCCTGAGCCATGCGTATGTGCTGTGGCCTCCGGGTGAGGCCCACGCTGCCTGGCTGGCCATCTGCCTGCCCTTGCCGCACGGCCAGCCGCCCCGGTGACGCTACTGGCCCTTTAGGTCGCAGTATCAGTCTCTGGTCCCTTTGTCGGAGTTCTGTCAGCACTGCTCGTTTTGAAACCCGTCGCTGGAGTCCTGCTCTGGGTCAGGCACCTGTATGTGTCCTTCCTGCTGCTGTAACAAATCACCATGAGCTCGGTGTCTAAAGCAACACACACGTGTTACCTGGCCGTTCAGATCACAGGTGCAGAACGGGGCTCATGGGCTCACGCCTAGGTGTCCAGGCCTGGCTCCTTCTGGAGGTTCCAGGGGAGAACCCCAGGGTGCCCGCATCTCAGCTTGTGGCCCCAGCATTATGCCAGCAGGCTGGATTGTTACCGTGTCTCACAGATGGGAAGTCGACACGTCTTGGACTTACTTAGCCCAGGTGTGCAGCCGGCCTCTGCTGCTGTCTACACCCTGAGCCGCCTCATACTGCTACTTGATTTACATTGAACCTAAACCTTTGATGAAATACACCAGAGTATTTTAGACATTAATTAATGTGCATTTTTCTCTTGCAGAAGCCAAAGATGTTGACCAGAAAGATTAAACTCTGGGACATAAACGCCCACATCACCTGCCGTCTGTGCAGCGGATATCTCATTGACGCGACCACGGTGACTGAGTGTCTGCATACGTGTATGTGCAGAATATTCTGGAATGTGGCTTTTGACAGTTTCTAGCTGTGACTTCTTTGATATTTTCGCTTTTTTTTTTTTTTTTTACCAAAAGCTTTTTTTAAAGATTTTATTAGGGAATTGGGGGAGGGGAACAGTGTTGGGGAATTGGGGAAGGGGACCAACCAAGTTGTTGTTCTTCAGTCTTCGTTGTGGAGGGCGCCAGTTGCCGTCTGGCTTCCCGTCGGCAGCTCGTGGCCTCTGAGCTCAAGGTGCTGAGTTCAATCTTAGTTGCAGGTGGACGAAGCCACCATCCCATGTGGGAGTCGAACCAGCAGCCTCGTTGTTAAGAGTGCACGCTCTATCCACTGAGCCATCTGGGTGGCAGCTCAGCTCAAGGTGCTGAGTTCAGCTTTAGTTGCGGGTGGGCAAAGCCCACCATCGAACAGGCAATCTTGTTGTTGCACCAGCTGAGCCATCCTGCCACCTGTTGGCAGCTCATCAGTAGCTCAGCTCGGGCGCAGCATCACTGGCCCATGTGGGAATCAAACCGGTGTCCCTGTTGCTCAGAGCTCACGCTCTTAAGGCAACTCATAACCAACTGAGCCACTTGGCTGGCCCCAAAAGCTTTTAGCTCAAGCACAAAGCAGGGCACAGAAGCAGAAATAAAGAGGGTCTTGAAGATTAATCAGAAAAATGATTTCAAATTGAAAATACTGTGGATAATTTCAACAGGTGTCATTTTAAGAAAGCTAAATACAGGAAAATTTCAGTTACTTTCATATAACAGCTAAACTGGTAACTGGTATGACAACATTCATTTCCAGTGGGCAGAAATGTTATTTTTAAAATTTCTAAATGAATTTCATAAACTTTTAAACAGAGCAGTCTGGAGGTCCACTGCTCTCACGCAGCCAATAAGCCCGTGTTTGATTTTTGGCAGACTCTTAGCTTGTACTGAGCTTGGACTTTTTTCTTTTTTAAGTGTCACCTCAACTGAGAGGGCAGGCGGCATAGTTTACCTGGGACTAAGGATGCTGGAATGCCAGGAAGGTCCGTCCACCGACTGCTGGCAATTTCTTTGGACCCTTAAAATAAAACGAACGGCTATAGTACAAACGATTTTTCATCCCATGTTTTGAACTTTAGGAAATAAAATACTTGCCAATTTTGATAGAATTGTTATTTTAAAGTTAATTGTATATTTAGACACTGGTGGGCATGATTTGTTATTTTCACTGAATTTTATGGATGCACAAAGCAGACCTTGTGATCTTTCAGGCTAACTTAGAAGAATGTTAGCTGTTGGCCCCTGTGGTGAGAGCAGACGCGACTCTGGGCCGCGGCCGCCCCGTCCTGACACACGTCCTCCCTCTTGTCCCTAAGCCTCCAGCCTGTCGAGCGAGGCAGCGGGCTGAGCAGTGGGACGCCGGCCCTGTGGGGACCTGGCAGGTGGTGCTCGCTGCCACACCCCAGGGTGTGGTGCCCGCTGGCCGTGGCATGGGCTGAGGGCGGCGGCGGCTCGATTGGGCGCTAGCTTTCTGACGGGAATGTGCTTTGACGCAGTCTGCCGGAGCTGCCTGGTGAAGTACCTGGAGGAGAACAACACGTGCCCCACGTGCAGGATTGTCATCCACCAGAGCCACCCGCTGCAGTACATCGGGTAAGGACGGCCGCGACACGAGCACGCGGCCCACGGCTCCCGCTGCTCTGGCTCCAGCTGGGCCGCTGCGATCCCCCCGGAACCAGCCGTCTTTCTCTGGCTTCACGCTCAGTTGGCCGAAGTCGGTCTGAGGTGGGCAGTGGCCCTGGACCCGCCTTCCTGCCACAGGACAGTGATCCCAGATCGAACTGCCCCCTTCCTGGGGTCTTGGGGAGACCGGGCCCCTTGGAGTCAATGCAGTTTCCGAGGGGGCAGGAGGTGCTTATGTGTGGCTCTTGGGCACAGTTTTAAGTGACTTCCAGATGTAGGGCCCATTCTAAGGGAAGTGACACGCTCCCCACGCCACCTGGGAACAGCACAGGTCGGACTGAAGTAAATTTTGACGGAAGAGAGGTGTGTGTTTTCACTCCTAAGGTTGTACCATGTGTCGTGTGCGCAGAATATAAAAACAGGTGAGCAGCTTAAAGCAGCACAAGGAGAAACTGTTCCCATGCCCAGAAGTGGAAAACGCCAAGCCCAGGAGCCCCCCAGGCCCGGGAGCCCCCCGCCAGGCCTGGGAGCCCCCCACTAGGCCCAGGAGCCACCCCCAGGCCTGGAAACCCTCCCTCGGCCCATCTTCTCTCTGTCCCCACCACGGGCCAGCCCCAAGCAGCAGTGTGGGCACAGCTGTCCTCCAGCCTCCTCCAGGCGGGACCAGAATGTTGTTACAGGTGGACATAGCAGGTGTCACTCTCGCAGGTGTTGCTCAGGGCCTGTCACACAGCATCTCCGTCCACCGCCCCTGGGAGCGGAGTGACAGGTGGGGTGCCTTCCCGCACCCTCCTGCCGGTCGTGTGGTGTGGGCTTCCGCCCGCATGGTCTGCGGGCGCCTGTGTCTGGCATCGCAGGTGTGGCATTTTGCCAGGGAGGGTGTGGAGGGGCCTCTTGGCCCGTCGCCCCCCATTGTCAGTCAGCCTGGACCTCTTCCCGACGTTACCCATCCATCTGCATCTGGGGAGCTGGCTGTTCGTGGCTGCGTCATGGTCCTCCTGGGTCCTTGGTTTTCATCCTTGCGCTTGGAAGAAGTGCTTCATGTTTCCTGGGCCCTAGTTGGCACACGTGCACATTCCCTGTCTTGGGGGTGTCGTGCGCAGAGCTGGGTGTCTTGCTTTCCCGACGTGAACCACTGAGGACAGGTGGGGGCGGCTGTGGAGACGGCTCCTCTCGTCGGCGTGTGGGTCCCACCCCTGTGCTCTGGGGTGGGCAGGGCTCAGGGCGCAGTGCGGCTGCCCCGGGCATGGGCCTCTGTGCGGTGACCATGTGGTGACTGGGGCCAGGGGGCTGCACAGATAGATGCTCAGCCTGAAGCCCACTCTCCCGGAAGCCTGTCCTCTCCTTCCTGCTTTTTGGGCTCCGCCTGGAACTGCACTGGCCCGGGGTGTCACCGGCTTCCTGTCCTGACGCCAGCAGGAGCCTTGTCCCCACACTGCCGGCCGGCCGGCCACCTGCTCTGGCTCTGCTATCACCAAATGACCGTGCGGTCGTCTGGGAGGGCTGGGGCGGGGGACTGGCGGTGGTGCGGGACGGGGGACAGACGAAGCCCGGCTCGCACGTCTGGGCCTTGCCGTGTAGCCCAGGGCTCTGGCCGTGTGGGCCCGGTGGAGCCTGCACGTGAGTGCAGTGAGGGGTGCTGGCAGCCTGGGGCGTACACGTGGGAGCCGCAGAGGTGGCCTCCGTTTCAGGGGCTCCCACCCTGCACGCTGGGCCCTGTGGTCCTCGGCCAGGCAGGTTGCTCAGGGGACCAGGTGTCAAGCTCTGGCAGCGGTTCAGCCCAGTCTCCTCTCCTTGTGGACCGGACGAGGTGTACAAAAAGCCAGTGGGGGTGTTGTGGGGCGCACTGCGAGTGTCGTGTGTGTGTTACCCATGTGTACACGTGATTGAGTGTCACCGTGGGAAGTATGTTTCTTAGCGTGGGTCATGGTCAGGAAGGTTTGAGAAGCCTGCTTTGGTCTGGCCCAGCATGGGCTGAGCTGTCCCTGGAACCTTCCAAGTCTGGGGTCCACTAGTACTTGCACCGTCCAGCAGGCAGAGGGCACTGGTCACCAAAAGGACCTCGTCTGTGTTGTTACTTGAAATGTTCATAAGCAGCTAGACCGAAAATTAAGTGGCGCATCAGTTCAGGTCACATGAAACTTGCTACCACAAACTTTTTTAAAGTGCAAAGTAGGAGCAAAATTCAGCCGAAGCCGCAGATTGGTGTGTGACATTGCTGAGTGGAAAATGTGCGAGATGATAGCACCCACGTTTCCGGCTCACCCGTCCTTTCTCTTTGCCAGTCATGACAGGACCATGCAGGACATCGTTTACAAACTGGTTCCAGGCCTCCAGGAAGGTAAGTCGCAGTGTCCGCAGGGCGGCTCTGGGCTGACACGAGCCCCTTCCGTGGCACAAGCACCATCCCTCGTCCCTGCCCTCCCCTCGGCGGCATCGGATGTGCTGGTTCATCTGTTGCCTGTCACTCATCTGCTTCTTGATTCCGGAAGCGCTGGGCGCATGTGCGGGCTGACCATGTTTGGGTGGTGGGGGCACAGCCTGCAGCAGGGGTGCCCTAGAACTGACCTGTATTTGAAGTCAGATCTCTCTGAGAGTGAAGAAGCAGTCATGTGGGGCAGGTATCCTGGAGGGGAAGTGGCTGCTCTGTTTAAAACCCCTGTGCATCCATGCCCGGCCCGAGCTGAGCTGCCGCTGAGCTGCCAACAGGTGGCAGGATGGCTCAGCTGGGAAAAAAACAACCCCCCCCCCAAAAAAAAAATAAAAAAATATATATATAAATCAGTCAATCAATCAAACAAACAAACAAACGCCTGTGCAGTTTTGCATGCCGAGGCTGTCTCTGCCTTTTGGGGGGTGGGAGTGGGGGTGGGGGAAGCACATCCGTCGGTCGCTAAGTTCATTCATTGCAGACGCTGGGCTGGCGGGTCCACTTTCGGAGGTGAGGCATGTGAGGGACTCTTGTGGGCTGTGTTTTCTCGTTAAACTTCAGGAGAGGGTTCTAGTTTACAACACGGCTTACTCGGTTAGTCAGTGGGTGTACAACTGGCCGTTAACACTCGGGGTAACTCTGTAAAAGCCTCCTTTTACTTTGCACAGAACTGAAATTTCCTGAGCAAATGTAGTACTTAGAAACCCTTATTTATAGTAAGGCCTTTCTCCCAGGAACAGCAAGGACTGCATCAGAGTAAAATACTGACACCTTAATAAGTCATCCTAGAGTATCTTAAACATAAAAAGTGGCAGGAGCAGAGGCCCACAGAATCCTGGCGTCTGTCCGGAGCTGGCGGCCGCTCGGGACTCTGGGAACCACGGCCTAAGTTTGTCGTCTCATCAGTAGCAGCTTTCAAACTTTGTATTCCCCGTCTCGGTTTTCTTCATGCGATATTTGTAAACAGTTTCAATGAGATTCAGTGCCCACTTAAGATTAAAGGTTATGTGTTAATTTTATTTAATAGCGGAAATGAGAAAACAGAGGGAATTCTACCACAAATTGGGCATGGAAGTGCCTGGAGACATCAAGGGGGAGACTTGTTCTGCGAAGCAGCACCTGGACTCCCATCGCAACGGTGCGTAGGGCGTGTG